CTCTCCTCTCCTCTCCCTTCCTCTCCTCTCCTCTAAAAACATTTACACACAGCTAAAAACATTTTGTAACTGTAGTCTCAGGGGATCTGATACCATCTTCTCTCCCCAGAGGATACCAGACATATACACAATGTACAGACATGCATGCCAGCAAACCACCAACCACCACCAGCACCTCCAGGACTACCATCACCACCACCACCATCACCACCCACATACACAGGCATAGAGGGAAAGGCAGGGAGTGTCCACAACACAGAGCAGTGACTGCTAAGTAAAGTCAATTGAGGTTTGTGACATACAGTAGGTACCATGGATGCACAAAAGTCAGAGGGGCCAATCATAGGATACACATCGAATATCATATTGGAAAAGTGAGTTTGTATTAAGCCCCCTTGGCCACTGTGACAAGCTTCATGGTCATGCCCAGTTAGATGTAGCATGGGGAAACATGCTCCACTTTTGGCAGGTGGCGGTTTATGGACAAGGACAAGCAATTCAGGAGAAAGGAAACAAAAGTGTGTCAAACACCCATCCAAAGACCATTATTTACTTACATTTTCTTTCCTGACTTTTAAAAAAATTTTTAAGAGTGTGTCTCACATAGCCCAGGCTAGCTTCAAACTCAGTACATAACCAAGGATGACTTTGAACTTCTCATCCTCCTGTGTGTATGTTTTTGAACAAAGTCCTGGGGATCAAATCCAGAGCTTTGTGCACACTAAGTAAGCTCTGCCTACAGAGTTACACTCTAGCCTTCAAATTTTTACAGTTAAATATTTTTGAATGGTTCTTAATGTCTCATACCTGAGACTGTACATATGTCCAGGTGCACACACACATGCACATGCATGCATGCACACCTTTGCTTCTCCTAGGAGGATATACACACTTTGATCAGCACTAGGAGCAAACACTTGTTAACAAAATGGTGCTGAGATGTCCAGCTCAGAGTTCTGTGAGGGCGAAGTGGGCCTGGAATTAGCAGTGGAGATGAATCTGCACTTAGAAAGCAGGAGTGGAGTCCTGACTCCCTGGAGAAGGTAACTATTCTCAACACATTGCCACAACAGGAACACAAGTGAGCATGCCTGGATAAAGACAGGCTGGTGGTGGCCCAACCGTCTGCCTCATAACGGTGTAGAATATGAGGTTTGTGTCACAAGTGGGTGAGAATTAGACTGATAGTGACATGCAAAGAGAACCTGCAAACTCAAAGCCTTCCAAACACAAAATTTAAAAATTCTCAGAAGCTAAGAGTACTTGCTGCTCTTCTGGAAAACCTGAGTTCAGCTCCCAGCACTCACATCAGGAGGTTCACAGCTGCCTGAAGCTTCATATCCAGGAGCAATGATGCCCTCTTCTGGGTTCAATAGGAATACCACACACATGTGGCATACTTACATACAGAGAGACACAGACAGACAGACAAAGAGACAGAGACAATGACACAGGGTGAGAGACAGGGAGAATAAAAGCAAATCTAAAATAAGAGAAAACAACCTCACATTTCCCATTATAATTCAGGTTCTCACAACACAAGCCACCACCTTCTCACTGAGCAAGTTCAGGCATTTCCTGGGCTGATCTGCAGCCACAGCATATCCGACATTGGTTCCTGTCCCAGTGCTGCTACATCTTGGAGGATGACTGATAATCAGGACTGTCTTAGGGATTCTATTGCTGTGAAAAGGCAGCATGAACACAGAAACTCTTACAAAGGAAAACATTTAATGGGAGGGCTTATGGCTTAGAGATTCAGTCCATTATGATCATGATGGAACATGGCAGCATGCAGGCAGACATGCTGGAGAAGGAGATTTCTACAATTTTGATTCAGAGGCAAAAGGAAGTAAACTGAGACACTGGGTATTGCTTGAGCATAGGAGACCTCAATGACTGCTCCTACATTGACACACTTTCTCCAACAAGGCCATATCTACTCCAACAAAACCACACCTCCTAATAGTGCCACTCCCTGTTATCTTGTGGGGGCCAATTACATTCAAACCACCACATCCCACTTCCTGGACCCCATAAGCTTGTAACAATATCATAATGTAAAATATATTTAGTCCGACTTCAAAAGTGTCCATACTCTATCACATATCAACAATGTTTAAAAGTGCAAAGTTCAAAGTTTCTTCTGAGATTCATGCAATCTCTTAATTATAATCTATAAAATAAAAATTAAAAACACATGCTTCCAACATATAATGGCACAATATATACATTACTCTTTCAAAGAGTAGGGAAGGGAGCATAATGAAGAAATACTGGACAAAAGTGAGACTAAAAATAATCTGGGCAAACTCCAAACTCTGCATCTCCAGGTCCTGCTTTAAACTGCTCTTCAGATCTACAATTTCTTTCAGCTATTTTGACCACAACACATTACTCTCTTGGGGTGATACCACTTCCTGTTACAGCTCTTCTCAGCAGGTATCCCAAGGCTCTGGCATCTCCAACATCTTGGGGTCTCCAAGGCAATCCAAGCTTCTCCTTCACAGCTTCACACAATGGCCTCTCTGGTCTTCCATTTAGGGACACTCCTGACACATGCCTAGCCTCAGTGATTTTCCTTAGTCAAGGAGGCAAATTCCATAGCCCATTTCTTCCATCTTTAATCCAGAACCAGGTGGCCAGAGCTGCCATGTTCTGCTGCTTGCTGGTGTTATAATGTGACACCCTTGTTTAATTACATCTCCACCAATTTTCTGTTTTTGTTGGTTTCCTTCACTGCCTAAGCATGACTGTACTGAAATTTGCTCTGTAGACCAGGCTGGCTTCAAACTCAGAGATGCCCCTGCCTATACCTTCTCGGTATTGGGATTAAAGGCGTGTACCACCACACCCTGATTTAAGCTTTTCTTTAATTTCTTTTCACCTGTTGGAAACTTAGCTTGGTAGGATCTTGCCCTGAGGCCACCACTCCCTGTATTTTATTTCTTAATATGTTTATCTCTTTGAATACACAAATTAGTTCCATTCCACTTCCTGGTGCTCTTTCTCCTCAAATTGTACATTTTGTATTTTTTCCTTGCTCAGCTTCCGCTTTTTCATTATAGATCTGTGTAAGTGTGGCCAGCAATAAAAACACAACAGAGTCTATACTGGGCTATTTTGAGATTTCCTCTGCCAATGGAATTAATCCAAAACACTTCACTTTTGGGACAAGGACAAAAAGCAGCCAAATTCTTTACCAAAAATATCACAAGAACAATCTCTAGACCACATATTAATATTCTTCTCCTCTGAAATCTCTTGACAGGGCCCCATAGTTCAAATAACTCAACACCAATGTCTTCCATGTCCCTACAAGCCTGGCCCATTAAGCAGCACTTAAAACATTCCACTACTTTCCTAATCCAAGCTTCCATACTCCACATTCCTCCAAATAAAAATATGTTCCAGCCTATCACAATACTCCAGTTCCTGGTACCATCTTCTGTCTTAGTTAGAGTTTCTGTTGCTGTTAAGAGACACCATGACCACTGCAACTCTTTTTTTCTGGTTATAGCAGAAATATTTGTTTAGAGTGAAGAACATCAATTTTGAAACAATAATCAAACATATGACCTTACTAAACACACGCCAATTCAGTGAACTTTACTTTGTTATTTATTTAGATGGAAATTTCAATAGAATTTAACACCTGATTGAAGCCTGCTCATTTTGTGTCTCAGTTCACCATCTTTGTTTCTCTGGTATCCTTTTCTGATAGACTGTCTGTAGGTGCATACATATATCTTGAAAACATCCATTATTTTTTTCTTCATTTATTCTTTTCTTTTTTGGAATTCTCAAAAGCCAATTGTCATTTGGAG